GGTTCCTCTGAGACTATGTGGGAAGAATACAAGATTTAGAAGAAAGCAGATTGGATGATGGACAGCTATTTGTCCCTGAACCCCGGTTTCCTCATCTATGAAATGGAAGTGAGAATTACTACATCCTGGTGGTGCCGAGGAGAGTGTGAAAGCTAGATGAATCACTATTTCCAAAAGCCAAGCATTAAAAACAGTTCGTTATTATGACAGCTGTCACTCGAGGCAGAGGTGTCACAGGGGCTATTTTGGTATGAGCTTCCCACCGAGCCATCCCTTCCTGGTGTTCTAAAGGGACTGTAAGCAACTCCCTCTAAGCTTGTGGCAATGTTTAAATCAAATAACTTGCCCCAGGGGATGTTCTTAGGGATGTCAGCCTGCTCCACATCCCAGCGAGAAAGCTGTCTGGGAAACTGTTCCAGGCTCCAACTTGGGGACAGAGACAGGCTTATTACAGGATCTTACCTCCCAAAGACCCCAGATTCCTGCCTCCTCACCAACAGATGACTGGCAAGAGAGCCTGTCCCCTAACAAGAGGCACACTGAGGTAGACTCCATGAGCGCCAAGGCCATTCCTATCAAAGTTTGGGTGCTTGAAGGTGACCTTGTGGCCTTGTAGCTTTCTCACGGGATTCACAGCAAGGCCTCTGATGGACTTGGAGTAGAAGCCCGGTTCTACATTTTCTGCGAACTCTTTGTATGTGGCCAGCCACCATAGAGTTAATGTTCCCTGTGAGCCACGTGGTCATAGGCTGTGACCTGAGGACTCAGCTTCATTGAAGTCCTATATAATGGTTTCCTTACTTAGCCGATGGCAGTTGTCAGCCCTGAGACCCCTTCACTCTCCCATCAAGACCCAGTAAAGAAACCATGTCCCTGCTCACTGTGCTTCACAGGGTCCCCACAGAGAACTCAACATCTGAGACTCTGTGAGACTAAGCAGGACACCAAGACACTCGGAAACCAGCAAAACCAGCAATGGAGGAAAACCGTTAGCACTCCAGGGCTGAAGGCACAAATGGCAAGCAGTTCGCAGAGCCTAGTAAGGGACAGAGGCACATAGAGGCTGGCCCCTAAGAGCTGGCATCATGGAGGATACAGCACAGGAGGAAAGACCAGCTAGAACAGAGTAGGGAAGAAGTGGTCCATTCTCTTCTCCCATCACCAGAACACCTACTGGACACCTCTTGGCCAAACATAGCCAGAGGCCAAGGTTGGGGCCAGGAATCCAAGGGAAAGCTTTGTGAGCCAGAGCAGAGGTTGGTGAGGACAGGGTTGGTGAGAACAAATAATCTGTGCATCCTCTCAGAAAACTAGTGGGTGAAAGGGGTGTTGTTGTTATTTGTTTGTTTATTGTTGTTGTTTAGAAGCCAGATCTTGCTATGTAACCCAAAATGCCATCAAACTCAAAGCAATCACTCTGCCTCTGCCTGCCAAGTTCTGGGACTTTAGGCATGCACCACCACTCCCAACTAAGGATTGAGTGTTAAGAAAGAAGCATGATAAAGGACCACAATCCTCTGGTTATGGTGACAAGCCACCAATAACCTGGGGGCTTGAAGTCACAGATGTTTATTTATGTATTACTTTACACTTGTGAAAGCCAGAAGTCTGAGTCTAAAATGGATCTCAGGGGGCTAAAGTCAGAGTTACGATCCCTCTTCAGGCCTCATAGAGAACCTATATACAGGCCTCTTCCAGCTCCTAGGACCTATGCCCTAGACTGGTGGCCTCAAATCTCTTCGGTCTCCTCTCACCACATCTTTTTGTATGTGTGTGTGGTGCTGAGGACTGAATCCAGAGTCTCACACATGCCCTACTGTTGACTATAACCTGAGCCCTCTTTTCACATTTTATTTTACTCTACATGTATACCAAGCTAGTCTGCAGCTCCCTTTGTAGCTGAAGATGGTCTTTGGACTTCTGATCCTCCTGCCTCTACCTTCTGAATGCTGGGATTACAGGCATGTGCCACCATGCCCCATTTATGTGGTGCTGGGGATCAAACCCAGGCTTCATCCAAGTACTCTATCAGTTGAGCTACATCCCTATGTGTGGCACTGAGTCCTACCAAGCTGCCCAGGCTGGCCTTGAAACTTACTCTGTAGCCAAGGAAGACCTTGAGCTTGTGCTCCTCTTGCCACAGACTCCTAAGAAGCTGGATTACAGGCCTGCCCCACCAGGTCCAGCTTCATCTTACTTTTGAATCTCATCCTCTTGCCTCCATCTTCTACAGACCCTGGGATTACACCAGGCCCATCAGGTAGTCCAGGTTCAACTCCCTATCTCGTATAAGATCCTTCATTTAAGCATCTCTACCAAGAGTTCCTTTTGCCATGTAAGGCAACCTCTCAGGTTCCAGGTTTCGGACATGGATATTTGGGGGACATCATTCAGCCTATCACACTGGCCTACCAGCTCTCCTGTGCCTCCTGATCATTTCCATACGACCCAGGAGACGGTGCTGGTCCCTCAAATACAATAACTATTTTTCTACCACGGAGCCTTTGTACCTGCTGGTGCTGGTCCCCAAACTTCTCTCTTCCTTCCTCTGTAAGCCTAAAGTGTGGGCTTATTTAGATTTCTGCATAGGCTGGCAGTGTAGCTCAGTGAGACAGCACTTGCCAAGCATGCATGAGACTTTGATTTCCATCCCCAGTACCATAAAATAAAAGGTCTCTGTGTGGCCACTTCCTTCATCACAGCAGCATCCCACACTGAAATTCCCACTTTCTTATCTTTCTGTTGGTCCAGTGTAGTGTGTTACTCCAGGGCAGGCGTGCCTGTCTTGTAGCTGCACTCCAGTGTCTAGTAGATCCTGGCATCCAACAGGCATGTACCTGCAGCAGCTCAGAGTTTAGGCCCTCGCCCTGTCCTGACCCCAGGGCTTTTCCACTTCCCAGTCATTTCTCACTTGAGAGAAACAGAAAAACCCAAGACTGGCAGTTCCTCTCTGAGCAAAGGAAATGACCCACACAGCCTTGCCTGCAAAGTAGGGGCACAAGGTCACACTGCTACCTCCCTGAGTCAGGACCAGCTTCCTGGCCAGGCCTCCTGTCTTCCCTACCCTTCCCTTCCCTGAAGCAGCCCTTCCTCCTGCCTGGGCATCCTACTACAAAGGACCCCAGCGTCATCCAGGGAGACCTCCCAGCCTCTTCGGTAGTTGAGGACATGAAGGTCTGAGGGGGTAGAGCCTCCCCCAGGCACATAATACCTGCATCCACCCACCCAACCACCACACCCCCTTCAGCCCTTCCTCCTGCCTGGGCATCCTACTACAAAGGACCCCAGCGTCATCCAGGGAGACCTCCCAGCCTCTTCGGTAGTTGAGGACATGAAGGTCTGAGGGGGTAGAGCCTCCCCCAGGCACATAATACCTGCATCCACCCACCCAACCACCACACCC